GTAATGTCCAGGACAAAAGTCAAAAAGTAAAAATAAACAAAGGGCAATTACTTCAAAATAAGGCAAGGCAGAGTAATGATTCTTAAGCACTGCACTTCCACCCAATGAGACCTATCTATCTACAAAGTTTCATGTTAATATCTCTTATAATTTTAGAGTAATGTCCCAGACAAAGTTCAAAGTGTCAAAATGAACAAAGGGCAATAACTCCAAAAGTAGGCAAGACAGTGTTACAGTTCTTGTGCACTGCAAACTTACTCAATGAGATCTATCTACCTACAAAGTTTCATGTTGATATCTCTTATATATTAAGAAATATGTCCCGGACAAAGTTCAAAGTGTAAAAATAAAACAAAGGGGGATAATTCAAAAATTAGGCAAGGCAAAGTTAAGGTTCTTGTTCACTGCACACCTACTCAATAAGATCTATCTACCTACAAAGTTTTATGTTGATACCTCTTATACTTTTAGAGTTATGTCCCGGACAAAGTTCAAAGTGTAAAATAAACAAAGGGGGATAATTCAAAAATAAGACAAGGCAGAGTTACGGTTCTTGTGCACTGCACACCTACTCAATGAGATCTATCTACCTACAAAGTTTCATGTTGATACCTCTTATACTTTTAGAGTTATGTCCCGGACAAATTTCAAAGTGTAAAATTAACAAAGGGGATAATTCAAAAATTAGGCAAGGCCAGAGTTACGGTTCTTGTGCACTGCACACCTACTCAATGAGATCTAACTACCTACAAAGTTTCATGTTGATACCTCTTATACTTTTAGAGTTATGTCCCGGACAAAGTTCAAAGTGTAAAATAAACAAAGGGGAATAATTCAAAAATTAGGCAAGCAGAGTTACGGTTCTTGTGCACTGCACTTCTACTCAATGAGATCTATCTACCTACAAAGTTTCATGTTAATACCTCTTATACTTTTAGAGTTATGTCCCGGACAAATTTTCAAAGTGTAAAATAAACAAAGGGGGGGTAATTCAAAAAAATTAGGCAAGGCAGAGTTACGGTTCTTGTGCACTGCACTTCTACTCAATGAGATCTATCTACCTACAAAGTTTCATGTTGATACCTCTTATACTTTTAGAGTTATGTCCCGGACAAAGTTCAAAGTGTAAAATAAACAAAGGGGAATAATTCAAAAATTAGGCAAGGCAGAGTTACGGTTCTTGTGCACTGCACTTCTACTCAATGAGATCTATCTACCTACAAAGTTTCATGTTGATACCTCTTATACTTTTAGAGTTATGTCCCGGACAAAGTTCAAAGTGTAAAAATAAACAAAGGGGAATAATTCAAAAATTAGGCAAGGCAGAGTTACGGTTCTTGTGCACTGCACACCTTCTTAATGAGATCTATTTACCTACAAAGTTTCATGTTGATACCTCTTGTTGTTTCAAAGTTATGTCCCGGACAAGAAAAGGGGACGGACGGACGGACGGACGGAAAGACGGACGGACAAGGCGGCGACTATATGCTCCCCCGAAATTTTTTCAGGGAGCATAAATATTGCATGTACACAAAGTAAATATACGCTGATTAACATCATGTATAGTGTGAACTCCCTAATCCCTTGTCCGAAAGTCAGTACAGGTGATGTAGAGGTAATAAGGTAAAATCTATTTTTAGAACAGTGTTACCTTCAGATCGAGGCTATTTTATTTACCTTACACTAATACTTAACAGAGAGATGCTGGAAGAATTATTCAAGCAATTAGTTGATAAAATCATTAGCAAGTTGTCTGATGTACTAGACCAATGTGATGAAAATGAAATGAAAACAAAAGGGCCATGATGGCCCTGAAGTCACTCACCTGTATATAGGCCCCCCGGAGCAGGGCCAGTTTAAACCCCAGGGCTTTTATTTGAACAAACTTGGTAGACACCCATTAGAAGATGTTTCATGCTAAACATCTAAGGTCTAGCTCGTTGGGTTTTTTTAAAGGAAGATTTTTTAAGTTTTTTCTTTACACATATATTTAAAGACAATGACACCCCTGGGGCAGGGCCAGTTTTTACCCCAAGGCTTTTATTTGAACACTCTTTGTAGACACTTACTAGAAGATGTTTCATGCTTAATATCTAAACTCTAGCTATTCAGGTTTTTTCGAAAAAGATTTTTAAGTTTTTACTATACACATATATTTAAAGACAATGACACCCCTGGGGCAGGGCCAGTTTTTACCCCAAGGCTTTTATTTGAACACTCTTTGTAGACACTTACTAGAAGATGTTTCATGCTTAATATCTAAACTCTAGCTATTCAGGTTTTTTCGAAAAAGATTTTTAAGTTTTTACTATACACATTTAAGGAAAATCATTGTCCCTGGGTCGGGGCCAATTTTGACCCCAGGGCTCTTATTTGAAGAAACTTGGTAGACATCTATTAGAACATGTTTCATGCTAAATATCTTAGCTCTAGCTCTTTGGGTTCTTTAAAAGAAGATTTTTAAGTTTTTACTATATTTAAATAGGGAAAATCAATGACCCCCTGGGGCAGGGCCAATTTTGACCCAAGGGCTCTTATTTGAACAAACTTGGTAGACACCCATTAGAACATGTTTCATGCTAAATATCTTAGCTCTAGCTCTTTGGGTTCTTTAAAAGAAGATTTTTTAAGTTTTTACTATATACATATAGGGAAAATCCATGACCCCTCTGGGGCGGGGCCAATTTTAACCCCAGAACTTTTATTTGAATAAACTTGGTAGACACTCGCTAGAAGATGTTTCATGCCAAATATCTAAGCTCTAGCTCTTTGGGTTTTTTAGAAGAATATATTTAAAGTTTTTTCTTTTGGTTGCCATGTCAACCAGAGTTCTGCATGGAATTAAATTCTTTGAACAACTTTGTTAAGGCTTCACACAAGGAACATCCCTGTGAAGTTTCATTATGATCTGCCTTATGGTTGTTTTAAAAGTGTGAACAGACAACGGACGATGTACGACGGACTAAGAGTGATCCTAATAGCTCACCCTGAGCATATGCTCAGGTGAGCTAGAAAGAAGTAAATTCAAAAGTAATTTTGCTTATTCATTCTGCTCTTTTTCAAAGTCCCAGACAAATAAGATTCTAATTGGGACTGCAAGTACTTTATGATATTCCACATACTTTATATTCCGCTAGCCAAAACTGACTAAATTTGTCAAGCAAACATGTCAAATACTGCATGTACTTTGATTATTAGCAACATAAAATGAAAATTACAAACCTAACAAAAGAAAGAGCAAAGTCACAAAACATGAAAAGGTAATAGGTAAACAAGAGGCCCAAATGGGCTTGTATCACTAATCTGAGAAAATGGAAAAGGATTTAAAAAGTTATTTAATAGTGTCCCATGGGCATGATTTAGCCAGATTGACTATATTCAAATATGTTAAAAGTTTAATCATTTAAAGGTGGATTGTCTATAATATGTGTTAAAAGTGTAAACATATACTGGTTGGAGACCACCAAAACCGGACAACCATCAAACCCGGACGGCCCAGAAAATGCTTAATTTAGTATTTTCTTTGTTCAGTGGATGTCAGTCACTTTTTTACCAACAATAAATGCATGTTTCTTCTATAATTAAGTAAATAAATTTATTTCAACCTCCGTAACTGGTTATATTTTAATGTCTATTTCAAGAATGTTGACGTTGAAATTTGGGGGCTAGGAAAGCAATGCCTGACCTCATATACCAGCTATAATCATTTGCAGAGTAAACAATAGAATATCCAAAATTTCAGCATTTGTTGCTGACATATTGTATATCATGTTAAAAATCAAAACACTCAAGCTTTTATCTGAATTAAATCACGTCATGTACATATCTGTCCGGACACATGGTACTAGCGTAGACAATTTAGGTAATTTTGATACCCTCCTTGTTGGGCCTCAGATATAAGTGTCAATACATTCAGAAATAAACAAACTAGTTTGTAAGTTAGGGGAAGAACTGTACCTAGCTGAACTGTGTCAAATTTTTATGTCTCTATGTTAAAAATTATGAAATCTGTACGGAAAAATGTTCAAAAAAAGTCTGGTTGATGGTTCCCGACCAGTAAAGTGAAAAAAAGGAAATAATAAAGATTCAGTATAGTGCAGAAATGCAGTCATATAATAGTAATAATCTACTGCTCCTGGTATCTTTAACAGAACTAAACCCAATCTCTTCAAATAACTGCCAACTTCTCCACATCCACAAGTGTATCAGAAGTGCAGGGAAAATAAAGTTAGACACACCATATTTACTAACATTTACTTTCTTTTGATTCGATAGGTTATAGCTTACACTTTGTCTTATAATAGAATCATTAAAGTATTTTGAAGAAAACCAAGCTGGTCAAAGCAAAACACTGCTTATTTAAGTCCAAAAATTAGACCTAGCCTTATATGTTGTCCGTCTTATGGGTGAGCAAGTGCAGTATTTACACACCCATAAGTCAGGTCCCATCGAAATCTTTTGATGCAAAACTCTTTCTACTAAGCTATATTCCAGGTACAAATTATAAAACATATAGAGAAAAAAAGATAAACTAAAATATGTAAGACAGGTAAAAGGGGCTTGTGGTTAAAAGGCTATTCTATTTGGGAAAGATTAGGATTCTTATACAGATGTTTGACACATGACAAAGTGCAACATCAGTTGCTAAATATCAAATAGAAGAAAACTTGTACATATGTTCTAGCAAATCTATACAGTATAAAACAGCTCCCACTTTTGTGTTAAAGTACACAAAACTGCACTGAAAATTATCTTTTATCAGACACTTATTTTACAAACAGACAAATAGTATAAATCTGAAATATTTTTTAACCTCAGAATCTCATGAAATTGTTAAAAATACAAGTTTGATTAACCGAAGTTGAAAACCCGCAAGCGCATAGTATATACAGCTATTTATGAAAAATATTTCGCTCATAAAATCAATCATTCCATGAGAGCTGCTTTATACAATTCAAAGTTACAAAGTGCAAAGGGAGATCACTCCAAACTAGACAAACCTGCTGACCGACCTGTAGAGCCTTACGAACAAAGTCTGACACATATTTTAACAGACCATGAAGAGTTTCAAGTAAAGTCTGCAGCATGGACAGAACCACTTTACTTTCAACACCACTGTTGTCTTCTCCTTCAAAACACGCAGCTGATACCTCGAAAAATATTGTAGTAAAGTAGTCAATGAGACCTGAAAAACAAAATTAATCTTTCAATCTGTTTGTTGTTGTTTTAAGTCATACCCATACCTAATGGTGTAAATTTAAATTGCAGCAATGAACACAACTGGCAGAGAAAATCCTTAAGATTGGCTACAAGCATTATTTCGGACATCAGTGGCTCCTGAATAACTGCCAAACTTCAATATGCTAATTTATAGCTCCCTCAATTGAAAGGACCCAAGTCCATAGTCCCAGATAAGATTTGAATCCACATCAATGAGGGGCAAGTAGTTCAAATTCAGAAACCCTAACCACTTGGCCACTAAAGCCCTAATCTTCATAACATGATGGTGTAATGTAAAATATCAATGCTATAAAAAAACCTACATTTCTATAGCAGGCCAGTTATAAACTAAATAATAGTATAACAGACTCTATAGACTTATTTACTTTATTGTATACCTATTCACTTTAATATTTCATACCTTGTTCATATTCACTTTAATATTTCATACCTTGTTCATATTCACTTTAATATTTCATACCTTGTTCATATTCACTTTAATATTTCATACCTTGTTCATATTCACTTTAATATTTCATACCTTGTTCATATTCACTTTAATATTTCATACCTTGTTCATATAACTCCTTCATGTTTGTTTCTTTATGACTGACGAGACAGTTCAGTATACCAGCTATACTCTGCATGGCGCTGCTCATTGGATTATTCTGGTGATCCTGTAATATTCAAAAATCAAGATATTTATTACCTTTAAATACTCTGCTAGAACTGAAAGCGATTTACCTTTGCCACTAGCTTGGTAAGCCTGCACATCCGTGTACTAATACCAGCCCTATAGTGTTGGCTAACAAAAAATATTTTTTTATTTAGCATTGCATTACTTGTATTTTACTTTTTGCAAAAATAGCAAAATTGATCATCCATGCATTAAAAGCCCACAGCAATGTCCTTTGAGGCAAAACCACAATTTTTTAGCCCATGTAATTAAGTGAAATCACATTAACCCTTAAGGAGGCGTCATATGACCTTGGGACACAAACAGAAATGGTGTTGACTTTATGAAAGGGTCGAGTTAAGAACACCGAAATATAATATTCCGAATCGCATTTTTGCCATTTGAATGTTAAGTTGAATCTATTTCTAGGCCCTTCAAGGATATTTGCTTTGTCAGAGCTGTTAGATTTACACAAAGAAATTAACCAATTGTGGACCAATAATTTAATTTTGTTTGTACTGGACATCGAAAATCTCTTACAACATACATATATATATATACATTCATACTGCAGAACTTACCAGTAATACTTGAAATATCACAGATACCAGGCCTTGTTGTTGAAATTGTTTTATGAATGCAGAATTAGACTCTAGTAAGGCAAGTAACAACTTGAGACCGTAGTAAGGTAGTGGGTCCTGGTCCAACAATATCTGTTCATAACTGAAATATAAATGAAATATAAATATAAGTTATCATAACACTGTAAATTTTAATGTAAACATTCATTAGAAAATTGTGAAAATTGTTTATATAATTTATGTAGTGCAACTCCCACGCAAAATTTCCTGCACAAGAGGGTACATTTAGTAAAACAGCCATAAGCTAACCAGAGGAACAAGATAAACTTTTAGCAATACTTGAAGCCGTTATGGCACTTTTTACAAACTCTAAGAATCAAAATAGTCAATAATGAAGGCCAATATAGCACTTTTGAAAAGAAGCTGTCCTGTTGGCTCAATAGGTAGAGTGTTGGACTGTGAATTGGGCAACCTGGGTTCGATTCCCAGTCAGTGCAGGTCACTTTCGTTGTACTTGATCCTGAAATCATTTCTCAGTCATTCACACTGTACCTCTGCTCTGGCATGTACAGAAGTTTCAGTTCCTTGCCGAAGTGAAGGCAACTAGTATTGGTAAACTGCTTGACAGCTTGTCCAGGAACAATGCGGTGGCTGAACTGTGCTCTGGTAAATTCAATGTGGCTTACTGCCGTGATCCCCAGTGTAAACTATCTACACCACCGTACTTTTGAAACAAACATGGTCATATTAGAAATTTGACTCTATATATTTCATGCAAAAAATGGGCAAAATGTGAGAACATACTGTGGGAACAACTTCTCTCCTATAATGATATGTAATCTCTTTGTATCGACCTTGCCATTGGTTGCCACGGCATCCTGTGTCAGGAATACAGTCGCCATCTCAGAGAACAAGCTTAGTGACAGAGCTCGGGTGTCACCTGTAATAATAGTTCACAATAGTTTATTAAAACATATCTGAGGCTGTCACCTGTCATAAATGTTCATAATACTTTAATTTTATCATATCTATTTACATACACGCCAAATTGTCCCTGATGTCCGGGACTGTCCCGGAGGCTTTTTCTGATGAAACTTACTCTCAATTCTGTTTTTTTATTAAACCCACATTGCCGGTAGGACCTACACACATATTTAAGGTGAAGTTCAACAGCTAGCAGCTGACAGAACTTTATACTACAAGTAATCCCCGGCTTGCAAGAATTATAACATCCAAGCCAAGTGGGTACTGTTGTATAACTAGCCAGATAGTTAAATGTTAATATCCTAGCAAAGTATATACACAGGGAATTGCTCATGTTCCTGTTTACATTACGATTATTAAATTTTGCTTATAATACCTGTTTAATCATAAAGTCACTTGGTAAGTAACCTATTTAAAAAATAAACAAACCCCACAGAGCAAAATCCTTTAAAAGTTTTTGGTTGCTGCTAAGAGTTGTTGTTCTAGAATAAAGAAAACTTTATTGTAAATGTTTACTTTGAAAAGAAATAATTCTTGTCATTTTTTGTTCAGATGTACCATAATAACTCTTCAGACCGTCACTCTGCAGAGATTATACTTTACCACTCAATCTGAAATTCTCAGGCTATATTCTATATAGAATTATCCTTACCATTTTGACTAACAACCAATTCCGCCATTATTGGAAGGATTGTCTCCATGACAACCACACCATGATCCATGAGCAGTGTGGGATGCTGGGTTATACCTTCTAGAACTGACATCACTGTGTTTACAAACTCTGATACCGTTATTACACCTTTGAAAAAATCAAAACCAGGCAAGGGTTAGATACAAAATATTCAACAATAAAGCAGCATAACTTGGCTTTTTTTAATTCATGAAAATTACGAAAAATGTAATTAAATGCAGACAAAAATACTGTCAAACATAAAAATTAACTGATTTTTTTAGACTAGTGTATGGGACTTGAAATCCAAAAATAAAATACCTATAAGGTGTCATAATAAGTAAAAATAACTCTACTTGTTATAAGTTGAAGGGTAGAAATACACTGATAAAAACAGTAAATTCTGAAATGTTTTACAAAAATCATGCATTTCATTGCATTTCACTAAGACCCTAGTCTCCTCCAATATTAAAATTTGCAAATTTGCTCAAGTTTCTCTAGACTTTTTTATCGAAATGTCAATTTCATGAAAGTTAGTTGTTTAAAAAATCAAATGACAAATAGTCACAGATCATTGATAAAAATTGAAAAGAAAAGCGAACAAAAATCTGGCTCTATTTTGAAACTATAATTCTAAAAAGCTCTCTAAAAGCTTGCTGACAATAGGACATATCATTGTGAAAGTAAAATCTAGAATACCGAGAAACATCCTGTCAACTTTCTATATATAGAAAAAAAGCACAAGTGTTGTATTTATAAGTAACTGAGCTTAATGAAAGATTGAATGTGTGAAATGACAGCTTTATGAAAAGTAAATTGTTTAAATTAAATAGAAACATATACAAGTAAACAACTGTTTTAAAATGAAAAAGCATAATAATAACTTGATAAAATAAAGAATAGATGAACCTGGATGGATAGGATGGGATGGGATGGGATGGAATGGGATGGGATGGATGGATGGGATGGATTGGATGGATGCATGGATGGATGCATGGATGGATGAAGAATGATTTACAATAAGCACTGTTACATCTTGTATAAACTGTTGAAATGACTACATCAAAATAATGGAAAATATATTAACACATGACCAATACATAGTATATTAAGCTCTTGATAGAATAACAAATTCAGACGAGCTAAAAATTATAAATCTAGCTCTAAAATAAGATATAGAACTTCTTAGGGGAAAAAATATAGATATATACAGTATACATGTTTATTATTTACTTGAATATAATATTGAGAAAAATTGATGAAATAAAATGCTCATTTTCATTTTCCGTATTTTCATTGTAAAAAATTATTCATGCAATATTTATTGAAATATATAATGAAAATAAATCCTGTATTTATAGAAGAAACTTGAATATCCTCTATTATATACAAGTATAATAAGACGGTCAATCTATGCATAATAATATAAAAGAACAAGCTCTGATTCACGCAAGCTAGAAGTACTATATTTAAAACTTCTAAACAAAAAGCTCCATGATTTTTTTACCTTTACACTTCTCTGAAGAATACAGGAGTATCGTGTTAGTTAAAATATCTAAATGAAACCTCCTCATATCCAAAGTAATAAAATACAAAAATGAAAAAAACAAAGGTCTTTCGTAACAAAAACAAAATTTACTAAAAATTGGTATTAGTTTATAATGTTACCTAAAACATAATTAAACATATTAAAGTATCTCTTTCATTAACAAAAACAGGCTAAACTTCATCTTAAAAACCATACAAATTTAGCTTTAGATAATGCTTCAACTCATGTATGTTAATACTAAAGTTATAAACGGATAAAATTGTCTTGTAACCTAAAATGTATTTAGGGTAATACAATAGTTCATTAAATATATCTGCAACTACCAATTCTTTACACTTATGCATTCAATTATAATTTTCACATTTGTATTCCTAGATGCTTTTCATGGATGGTAAACAAATAATCATAACAATCGTGGCAGAGTGGTTAACTTATCATACTAGTAATCTTAAGGATTGCTGATTGCATTGATTCAAACCCCCTCAGTGGCAAACCGTTGTTTTCTGTGAGCAAGAAGCTTTACACTCATTGCTTATTACTAGTTGGTCCAGTAAACAGATTCAGAAGTATTTCAACTAGAACTATCACTAAATGTGATTAATACCCCCACAAGACTGCTTCGGAAATGAGGATGTTACTAGTAACAGAATACCTTGTAAAAGAATTGAAATATAGAGTTATGGTTGTTGGCAATTAAAGATAGTTGTGGTTCTTGTATGTTGCATTTCCTTTCAATGTGGTTGGCCATTGATGAAGTTTAATTGAATTACTCTGTAATAAGTCCAGAAAGACAAAGAAAAGGAACAAAGGGCAAAACTCTATAAAAACTAAAGATAGAGTTATAGTTCTTGTGCACTGCACTTCCTCTTTTTGTGCTTGAACATTGTATGAAGTTGTTTTGAATTCCGACCAGTACGTTTTCAGTTATGCTCAGGACAAGGAAAAGTATCGAAGGGCAGTAACTCTGTATTTTGTCAAAATGGAGTTATGGCTCTTGTGCACTGTACTTCCTTTTAATGTCCTTGACGACTGTATGAAGTTGTACTGAATTCCAAACAGTAGTTTTCAAGTTATGCTCTGGACAAGGAAAAGTAACAAAGGGCAAAAACTCTGTAATTAGTCAAGATGGAGTTATGGTTCTTGTGCACTGCACTTCCTCTCAATGTGCTTGACCATTGTATGAAGTTATATTGAATTCCAACCATTAGTCTTCAAGTTATGCTCCGGACAAAAAAGCAATGGAAAAGTAACAAAGGGCAATAACTCTGTAATTAGTCAAGATGGAGTTATGGTTCTTGTGCACTGCACTTCCCCTTATTGTGCTTGACCATTGTATGAAGTTGTTTTGAATTCCAACCAGTAGTTTTCAAGTCATGCTCTGGACAAGGAAAATTAACAAAGGGCAGTAACTCTGTAATTAGTCAAGATGGAGTTATGGTTCTTGTGCACTGCACTTCCTCTCAATGTGCTTGACCATTGTATGAAGTTATATTGAATTCCAACCATTAGTCTTCAAATTATGCTCCGGACAAAAAAGCAATGGAAAAGTAACAAAGGGCAATAACTCTGTAATTACTTTAAATAGAGTTATGGTTCTTGTGCACTGCACTTCCCCTTATTGTGTTTGACAATTGTGTGAAATTGTTTTGAATTCCAACCAGTAGTTTTCAAGTTATGCCCCGGACAAGGAAAAGTAACAAAGGGCAATAACTCTGTAATTAGTCAAGATAGAGTTATGTTTCTTGTGCACTGCACTTCCTCTCAATGTGCTTGACCATTGTATGTAGTTATATTGAATTCCAAACATTAGTCTTCAAGTTATGCTCCGGACAAGGTAAATGCAACGGACAAAAAAAAAGCAATGGAAAAGCAACAAAGGGCAATAACTCTGTAATTACTTTAGATAGAGTTATGGTTCTTATGCACTGCACTTCCTCTTATTGTGTTTGACAATTGTGTGAAGTTGTTTTGAATTCCAACCAGTAGTTTTCAAAGTTATGCCCCGGACAAGGAAAAGTAACAAAGGGCAATAACTCTGTAATTAATCAAGATAGAGTTATGGTTCTTGTGCACTGCACTTCCTCTCAATGTGCTTGACCATTGTGTGTAGTTATATTGAATTCCAAGCATTAGTCTTAAAGTTATGCTCCGGACAAGGAAAATGCAACGGACGTCTGGACCGACCGACCGACCGCCCGACCGACCAACCGACCGACCGACCGACCGACCGACCGACCACCGGGTGACTCCTATATACCCCCCCAAACTTCGTTTTTGGGGGTATAATAAGCTTATAGCTTCCAACACAACCAAACTGAAAATAAATTAGTATACACTAAACTTATCAAATAGTTCACACATACCATTAGATGCTTCAATATTTGTTTCACCATTCTCAATACGTTTCACGTGCCCTAACAGTGAACCAAGACTTCGTACAAATTCCTCAGTGACTATCTTTGGACGGAATACCTGAAAACATGTAAAACCACATTAACTAACTTCACTTTTTTTTAAGACTTGCAGTCTCATCAAAACTGTTGTCATACATTCAATCTTCATTTTTTGCGGATCTTAATTAAGTCAAGCTGACACAGTATAGGTCATCTGGCTACTCCCTAGCTTTGCTGGTGGGGGATGACTTTTGGGGCTTAATTTTGTATTATTTTTAGGTACAACCATTGTCCTTCAGTAACCTTTTAGAATATCTTACATAAAAAGAATCAGAATTCCTTGGCAATATTCAAACCAAAAAGCATAAAGGGCAAGAATTCAAAACAAGCAACCTTACCTGCTCAGCCTCAATGCCTCATTTCAAGTTTCTATTGTTGTGAGAAAACCCCTTTGTGCATTATAAAGGTCAAAGGCCGTATTCATAAAGCTCGTAAGGGAAAAAGCTCCCTTAGATTCTAAAATTTCCCTTAAAATATGTAAGATTTCCCTTAGTTTTTAAGAATTTCCTTAGTTGCTTTACATAAAACTCCTTAACTTAGGCTGATTTTCTCTTAAATATAAAGGTATCCCATATGCTCCATTAACTTTTAAGGGAAAAAGTTAAGGGATAAAATGAGAGAAAAAAAGGACTCCTAGCAGACGTACATTGTATGTAGAAAAATGACCATTCCATAAGAATAAGCATGCTTGAATATTAAGCATATGCATGTAGTATAACAATGAAAAGAGATACATGATCAGACATACCTGACTGGTTACCAGATGAAGGAAAATATGTACTAAAGGGAGGGAACTCTTGAGTTGTTTTGCCTGAACAGTGTTTGGATGTTTACGTCCGGCCACAGAATCTAATGCAGTCAGAACGTCACCTATTGAAAACAATAAAAATAGGAATATTTCCACATGATGAAATTAGTCTTTTTCACTATTTTGAAAATGTTGATTTATTTAAAAACTGAATGTTATGAGTAGAATATCTTATTAAATTGATCATTTTTAAAATTATGAATTACAGACACTATGCTAACATGCCATTTATATCTATAGTAGAGTTAACATCAAGTCAGAAAGTTTCCCTAGGAATATAAGCCCGCTACCACTTGGAACATCTTATTAAAAACTTAAATCTAAATATAGCATAATGCTGTAAATAACTGTTCTTTTTTAAAAAATATTTTTTACTAAGTTTCAAACTGCTTGTTATTGCCCTATAATGATCTGAGGCTTTATCAAAATATGTTTAGTACCCAATTATACAAAATTATCAACCCTTAAAATCGAGAAAATAAAAATCCCTAAAGAAAGTCCAAAAACGGCAAAATGAAAATGATGCAGACTGGCTTTGATTGAGCCTGTTCATGGACAGTACTGTAACACAATGTGGCCGAAAAATTAAGACTGAATCATTTTACACACCACATCAGACACCAACTGTATTAACTGGTACAGAAATAAAAATGTTTTCTCTTTTTCTTAGAAAACAGTAAATTACCTATAATATTAGGGACTGAATCAGAGATATAGTTGATAAGTAGATCAAGACATCTGTTCAAATATTCCATTTCTGCCGGATCAACTTTCGTATCCCGCGGTGTTTGCCGTCTGCTATCTCTCTCCAGATACATTACCAGTCTGTGTTACATGAAAAACCCATGCGGATGAAGAAAAAAAATTTGCATAAATCATCACCTTATTGCAGTAACAGGCCATTTAACTCCTTATGTTATTTGAGTTAACCCATTACTGCACTAAGGTGATGGTGATTGTCATGGTTTTTATAGCTCAATCAGTAGAGCCACAGAACAGTATTCAGAGGGTCCCGTGTTCGAGTCCCTGACCAGGACAGGCTGCACATTTTTCTCACCCTGTGACATGATAATAATGTTAAACATAAATGATGTAGATTCTTGCAAGGTATCCCCCGACATAAAACAAATGTTCATTTCTGGAAACAATGTGTTATCTTATATCTATTGATCTCTTGATGTAACAAATATCTATCTCAATGTGCAACCAAGGTGTATACTTATGCAAGTTGTAAGAATCTTCTCACATGTATTTATTTAAATATCAATACTTCACATATCAGCTCTACTATGATTATCAATATTAAGTTTAAATTCAGTCTTCATTTTATAAGCTATAAAGCTGTAAATGGGTAAATTTTCTCTACTTATCTGTAAAAACTGTACATTCATTGTTTTCATATAAGTTTCATATTCCTATGGTTTGTTTCTTGAAAGAGTCTCAACAAAAGATTGGTTTTACGGCACACCAACACAATTAAGGTCATATGGCGCCGAACAAGGAAAGATGATTTTGGCTAACCTTGGGTGTTTACAAACTTAAAGCAACACCAGGAGATAAAACCACCTCACCTGCTGGAGCTAAGAGATGCATAGACTATAGTAATTCGGACTCATTGAGTTGCCTCTTAAGATCATGCAAGGATAAACAGTGGCTGCAATTCTGATGCCTCAACCCTTAAAGGCATCCCCTCAGCTGCAAGGGGGATTCAACAAATGGAAATACGTACTAACTTACTGAAGCATAAAATGTATGGATTTTAACAAATATGTACAAGCAATAAACGTTACCTATACTGGCAACATGACAACAAGATATCATGGTTATTTTTAGTAAGTTCATGTATCACAACAAAAGCTTTGCCTCGTATCACAGTAGATGGACTTTCTAATAGTCGCAGTATCTTCTGCAGGAAATCCTGAAATGCATAAAAAGATCTACATACAATTACACAAATAATGTCAAAGGAAGGGGTATGTTCGATCAAGTGAGTTGTTTATGTTTTGTTTGTTCGGTTATTTTTTTGCTTAATTTCAACACATTTTTTTTGTCATATCTTGGCGACCTATCCATCATAATAACCAACTTTCCTGGATAACTAACTGGTTATTAATAACTTTCCCAACAGGCAACAAACTATAAATCTCATTGGATTTCTGAATCATCGGTGAAAGACAAAAGATCATTAGATTAAATATCCGAATTCAGATGTCACAAAGAAATTTTCACCGGCCCAATAACAAACCAGTGACCCTTGGTTTAAAAACATGATGCTTTCCCTATTAAGCTATATTTACATAGAATGATATTTATAAAAAAAAAAAAAATTCCCTGCCATACATAAACTATATTGAAATTATGCTGCTCCTGTTACTTATTAAATTTTTTTTGGTGGGGTTTTGGACAAATTTTGTTTTTGGTAGGGTTTTTGAAACACACAAAAACATAAAGAGGGCATACTGCAACCCTCATGAAAAAACCAACATTGTAACAATGTGCATTATTAATCATTTCAGGCAAGAAGTAGGCACCTGAGTAGGAAAAAGTATTAAACAAGAGGGCCATGATGGCCCTAAAGTCGCTCACCTGTATATAGGCCCCCGGAGCGGGGCCAGTTTAAACCCCAGGGCTTTTATTTGAACAAACTTGGTAGACACTCATTAGAAGATATTTCATGCTTAACATCTAAGGTCTAGCTGGTCAAGTTTTTTTCTTTACACATATAGTTAAAAACAATGACACACCTGGGGCAGGGCCAGTTTTGACCCAAGGGCTTTTATTTGAACAATCTTTGTAGACACTTACTAGAAAATGTTTCACGCTTAATATCTAAACTCTAGCTATTCCGGTTTTTTCAAAGATGACTTTTAAGTTTTTGCTATACACATATAAGGAAAATCAATGTCAGCCCGGGCTGGGCAAATTTTGACCCCAGGGCTTTTATTTGAACAAACTTGTTAGACATCCATTAGAACATGTTTCATGCCAAATATCTAAGCTCTAGCTCTTTCGGTTTTTTAGAAGAAGATTTTTTAAGTTTTTACTATATGCATATAGGGAAAATCAATGACCCCCTGGGGCTGGGCCAATTTGACCCCAGGGCTTTTATTTGAATAATCTTGGTAGACATTCATTAGAAGATATTTCATGTTTAATATCTTAGCTCTAGCTCTTTGGGTTCTTTAAAAGACGATTTTTTAAGTTTTTACTATATGCATATAGGGAAAATCAATGACCCCCTGGGGCGGGGCCAATTTTGACCCCAGGGATTTTATTTGAACAATCTTGGTAGAAACTCACTAGAAGATGTTTCATGCCAAATATCTAAGCTCTAGCAATTTGGGTTTTCTAGAAGAAGATGTTTAAAGTTTTTTCTTTTGGTTGCCATGGCAACCAGAGTTCTGCATGGAATGGAATTCTTTGAACAACTTTGTTAAGGCTTCACACAAGGAACATCCCTGTGAAGTTTCATTATGATCTGCCTTATGGTTTCAGAGGAGATGTCGTTTGAAAAGTGTGAACGGACAACGTACGATGGACGACGGTCGACGGACGACAGACGAAGAGTGATCCTAATAGTTCACCCTGAGCATATGTTCAGGTGAGCTAAAAAGTGACAATGTCTTACAGTAAATATAACAGCTTTCCCTATTATATAAATATCATTGCAGTTATAAAACCACACTGACCTTATCTTGTGTAAGTCTATTCAAGGAAGCCCCTGACACAATCAATGCTCCAAACATGGTCACAATAGATTGTTGAATCTTTGTTATACCAAACGACAACGCAGACAGCAATGTTGATAATCCTACAGTGTCAATAACTGACTGGAAAACTTGAGGGTTATGTCTTGTGATTCTATGTAATGCCTGAAATAAAACATTCATTTTTTTTTATTTGTATGAGTTAAATTTAATTATCTATTATATACCTATAAATAAAATATTGAGAACTAATGATGAAATAAAATACATATTTTCATTTTCAGTATTTTCACAGTATAAAATTTACATTTCACTGCAGTTAAACATATTTTCCATATTTTCATTGGTGTCTGGCCAGACTACTTTCTTCTAAGTTCAGCCAATACACAAAATTTAAGGGGTATCTTCAAATTGGAATATCAAAAAGAAAAATGTATATAATAGACATAAAATTGAAGTTTTTTTCTATAAATACAGGATTTATTTTCCTCTAGGGGTATGAAAATTATCATATTTCACTCATGGATTTGGATGAAGGACTACTGCCACTCATGAAATATTTATTTTCATACCACTCAATGAAGATAAATCCTGTATTTTTAGAAAAAACTTGAATATCCTCTATATATTTAACCCTCACTGCCCTTAATTTGTGTTATGGACCTAATTTACTTTGAATTTAGAACAGTCCACTGTTGTAATGGGGAAATAGCTCAGTTGGTTAAACCACTGTCTATCACTCCTGAGGTCCCGGGTTCGATCCTGGGTTACACCCTTGGGATTTTTCAGAGACACTTTCAGTGTTTCCCACCTACATAGAGGTGTACTGGTAAGAAATCCAGGTAATCCTCGCATGTATCAGTGCTATACACTGGGCATGTAAAAGAACCAAGGGGTCTATTCAATAAGAGCTAGGGACTGGTTCCCGGATTCCCTTGTATCTTAAAGCTGTTTCTTAAATGTATACAATGTATACCTGCCTTTAACACTCGTAAGAGGGGTTGGCAGTATCCAGAGATAGATAGATAGATAGATAAATTTCAATATCTAAATGCTAAAATAAAGCAGTCAATAGTATAAAATCTGGTCAGACTTGCATGCAGAATGGTGGCATTTACACTGAAAGCAACAAGCCTAACCGTCATGAAAATTTTTAAAAATGTATTAAAAAATTAAACATTGTGAAGTTAACAAATATATTAATTTACATATTGCTTACATCACTTACAAACCATTTAAATGACCAAAAAATGGCTAAAATATGCAAAAATAGCCATTACTGCATTAGTAGCATAGTAGAGTATGGTGATAAATACTGCAAAATCGGTCATTAATTTATTAGTGAAATGGTTAAAAAGAGTAGGTGGACATATGACAATTATCCTGGCCAAGTTTCAATATAATTGGTTAAGCAGGAAAAGAGAAGAAACACACACAGATGGACATGCCACCGACTTTGGATAAAGGGCCATTTCTTTTTGTTATTTTCTTTAGTTTAATACAGGGCCGTATGGTCCTTTCCTCTTCCCTATTTGGAAGTGCGGATAGACAACCAGACAGACAGACAGATGATGGAGAAGTCTTGCAGATGACACAAAAAAATAACAGAAAGAATAAAGTAAATTCCTTCCTCTGCAAATAAGATGTTATGTATTTTCTAGAATCAATGGAAACCTTTAAGTAATGAGTAATTTTATTAAGTTATTTGTGGAATATAAGTTATCTATCTTTCTTCCTCAATGTCAAACCCCCTCGCTGGGACACAGACATGACACTAGATTGCAGAGACAGCTTTAAGATAATTATAAGGGAGTCTGGGAACCAGTCTCTAGCTCTTATTGAATAGGCCCCTTAGTTCTTTTACATGCCCAGTGTAAAGCACTGATACATGCTAGGATTACCTGGATTTCTTACCAGTCCACCTTTAGGTAGGTGGGAAACACTGAAAGTGTCTCTGAAAAATCCCAAAGGTGTAATCCTGAATTGAACCCGGAACCTCAGGAGTGACAGTCAGTGGTCTAACCTTATTTGATTACTTTCTGTAACAAGAGCTGTCCGTAAGACAGCGCGCTCGACTTTTTTATTGCTTGCCAATAAAAAAAGTTTTTGCAGTAAAAGGCAATACAAGAATCTCTGTATTTTTAAAGTGAACAATGGCCATGAGCATTAAGATATTTAGTGAAGAATTATTTTACTGAATTGTGTGATACCCTTGAACACTGCAGCAAAGTTTGAAATGTTTAAGTCAAAAGAGGGCTGGTAAGAAAGAAAAAAAAACTGAGTTGAGCCTTAAATAAATTTAATAGTATTAAACCCACTTTGAGAGAATAAGGTGCTTGCCTATAATACAAAACATTGACAGTTAAGGGCCATAATTCAAATAAAATCTTTGACAGAATTACCTTCTCCTGGACATGTTTGGGAATCATGATTGTAAACAAGTATTCCAACTTTCAAATTAATATCTCAAACAGTTCAGTCAAAAAGTGGACTGGTACTAAAAACTTAACCAAGATTCTAAGTCGATAAAAGGCCTTAATTTTTAAAACAAATCCTTGACAGAGTTACCTTCTCTTGCGTACAGATGGGGGTAATGATGTGAAATAGCATTAAAAGTTTCAAAGCAATATCTCAAAGGGTTAAGGCAATAAGTGGATTTTATCCATATTCAATGTATTTTCTAAGTCAAAAAGGGGCATAATTCTGTCAAAAACCTTGACAGAGTTATGTCCTCTTGTCTGTTGATGAAGGTCGTGATGGTAAACAAGTATGGTCAGTTTCAAAGCAATACCTCCAATGGTTTTGAAATAAAGTGAGGTGGTACAAAAAACTTAACCAAGCTCAATACACTTTCTAAGTCAAAAAAGGGCCATAATTCTGTCAAAAACCTTGACAGAGTTATGTACTCTTGTCTGTAGATGGAGGTTATGATGGTGAACAAGTATGGTAAGTTTCAAAGCCATACTTGTAATACTTCTGAAATAAAGTGGGGTGGTACGAAAAACTTAACCAAGGTGTGACGCCAACGCCGACGCCGGGGCGAGTAGGATAGCTCCCCTTTTCATAGAAAAGTCGAGCTAAAAATAAGTAATTTAATTGTTAATTAAGTAATGTTAATAGAAATTTAATTACAATGTTATTACTTTATCTAGTAATTGGAACCATCCCTGGTAAAAATTTTAATATCAAACACTAAAACATTTTTTTGGCAATTTTGATTTTCAGAAAAATGTGATGAGAAAAATGCTATCTATAAAAATGTGTTCTCCATCTATGGTTTTTTTTTTTTTTTTCCCGCTTTTTTTTCAATTGTTATCTACGCAGATAAACCTGATGTATTAAATCTCTATTTTTTATATGAACCTGGGAAAGAACATTTCTAATTTAATATTGACAAGTTTTTTTTTTTAGGGGGTGAATTATGACTGTAAACAACTTTAGGGGTTATAAAAACTGTCAAAAATAATAACCACAGATTTCTATACCAAATGAAAATTAAGAAAATCTAAACTTAATTACTCCTTAGTATATAATGGCTACAAGTTTATTTTAAATCATTTATTTTTTCTTTAACAAAAAAGTTTTACAAATCTTCACCCTTTTCAAATTTTGGTATGCCTTCATGTCGTCAGCATAAAAAATTAGAATGCATGATAAATTTTGTTATTCAACTCTAACCTCATTCACTTCAAACAAATTGTGAAATAAACAGTGTCTGACATAAATTAAAAAAAAAAAAAAAAATTTAGGATAAATTCTGATGAAAATATTGTAGGTTTTTTTTAATATTGATAAAAATTGGACATACATTTTCATATTTAAATCTTCAGTTGATTCTCATTGAAAAAAAAGACTGAAAAACATTAACAATGGGAAAAACATATAAAGGAAAAGGCAAGCAAAAGGCAGAAATTTTATCGAATACATTGTCATTAAAGAAGAAAAAGAAGCAGAAGAAAAATGAAATGAGAATAGTTCAATTAGAAATGGAAGGAATCCTGAAAAAAATGCAGAAAAAAAAATGAAATGAACAGGATAATAACGTGGCTCTGGAATGGAAGCAAAACCTGAAAAATTTTTTTAGCACATTGTAAGAAGCGCTGAGGTGGCTCCACGGCCTAGAATTCAACGCCCAGCACCACCCCCTCCTGATGCTCTTGATAACTAAGTTCATAACTAAGTTCATAACTATGATGATAACCAAGTTCATAACTACGATGATAACCAAGTTCATAACTACGATGATAACCAAGTTCATAACTACGATGATAATCAAGTTCATAATTACAATGATAATCAAGTTCATAACTATGGTGATAACTAAGTTTATAACTAAGTTCATAACTATGATGACAGCTAAGTTCATAACTATGTTCATAATTAACTAAAGTAAAAAAATCTTGACAACTGTGACTGGTGTGACATGGAATGATTAACAAAATTTGAAATTCAAGGAAACAAAACCAAAAAAAATATGAAAATACTAATACAAGTGGATTCACATTACAATGAACATTAATTCCTAAGGATTACAGAAGCCAAACATTTTAGAATATACTTTTTCAATGTATTTTTTGCATTAATGATTATCATATATATGGTAATATATTAATTTTTGTTTTCCTAGTTAAAACAATACAAAAAATTTGATACTTTTCAAACTGCAAATAAAAATGTTTCATTTTATGTATTTGAACTGTCTTGGATATTGCAATACCACTTATTTAACAAAAACAAAAACAAAATTTAAACAAAATAATTCGATAAATATGTTGCATGTTAACAAGAAGTGTCTTAATAAAAGATAATCAGCTTTATATTCAGTACAATGTTAATGCCTTTTACATTCAGAAATATTTGTAAAAGCCAGAAAAGAAATTGAAATAATTTATTTATAAACTAATAACTAATGATCTCTCAATGTTTAGGTGAAGTATAATTATAAAGTTTACTTTTAAATTTAAATGCATATTTTTTATTTTTTGTTATCTTGATTTTATTTTTAAAACCCCTAACTAACTAGAACTAAGCCCAACCCCAAATTGAAAGAAAACAAGAAGGCAGTGATAGTCCTTAAATCCCGCCCGTCTGAGGGATATGGCTAACATGAACAAGATTTAATTACCGGGACATTCCTATAACATACATGTACATGCCACATTGTCCCAGATGTTTTGTCTGGGATTGTCCCTGACATCATTGTCCCAGGTCATGGTCACTGAAACACCGCATTTATGCCCAGATAAAACTAGAAATCTGTAATACTCTCTTTTGCAGCAAGAACTATTACAATTTTATGCCACCTTAATTTCAAATTTAAAATTTGATTGGGTTCTATAAAACATTAAAATACAGAACAGATGTCTCAAAAGACAGTATAGGCAATACAAAGGAAACGGTGACACTAAGCCTTTGATTGGTATAAATATGTGGTGCCCCTTCCAAGTAACAATTTTTGGCAATTATTTAGATTTAATTAAAAACTTAACTGGTTTCTCAAAGTCCCTAGATAAAAAACATTGACTAATTAGTCCTAACACTTAATATCCAAATATAAGAATAAAAAAAAAGTTCAGTTTTTCAACAATAAAAAGAAAAATATCCAAAAAAAAACAAAAACAACGTAAAAACTTACAGAAAAGAGCTGTAATCCTGAGACATCAAGGTGGAATGTTTTGAGAATATACCATAATGACTGGGCCATATCTGTTGTCACCATTTTCTGTGCTATCTGTCCTTTTGTTGTAAGCCACGTTCTCCACTATTTTGGCAGCTATATGATTAATCAAACTGTCTTCCTGCCAAATTAAAGTTTGTAAGTTTTTATAAGTTGGAAATGTGTTACAGTGTCTAAAGCTAAAAACCGGGACATAATATAGAGGGGCAAGCAACTACCTAATACATGGGACAACTTATGCTGGCATGCAATTGACCGCCAATCAAGTGATAAGGAAGTGTTGTGGTTTAAATCTTAAATTTATGTTGTTATTGCCAAAACATACATTAATAAATTTTTATATAATCATGAAAATATATCATTTAATAGTAAAAGGACTGTTAATAACTTTCAATATCATCTGACTTATATTTTTTCTCTTTGTTTACAACAACTGATTAAACAAAAATATATCCTTTTACAAAGCATCAATAGACAAAAAGGGGCGTTTGGTGAAAAAATGGTTTTGGATGAAAAGATAAACGCTGTGCTAAAAAGTCCCTTTTGCCTTGTCC